TTTCACTCTTTCACTCTTTCACTCTTTCACTCTTTCACTCTTTCACTTTTTCACTCTTTCACTCTTTTACTATTTTACTCTTTTACTCTTTCACTCTTTCACTCTTTCACTCTTTCACTCTTTCACTCTTTCACTCTTTCACTCTTTCACTCTTTCACTCTTTCAATTTTTCTTTTCCATTCCTTTTTTATCCATTTCCTTGTTCTTTTTTCATTCACTTATTCTTTTCCATTCCCTTTTCTTTTCCTTTCCCTTCTTTTTTCCTTTCCTTTTTTCTTGTCCATTCCCTTTTCATTTCCATTCCATTCCCTTTTCTTTTCCATTCCCTTTTTCTTTTCCTTTCCCTTTTTCTTTTCCATTCCCTTTTAATTTCCATTCCATTCCCTTTTCTTTTCCATTCCCTTTTTCTTTTCCATTCCCTATTTCTTTTTCATTCCCTTTTTCTTTTCCATTCCCTTTTACTTTTCCATTCCCATTTTCTTTTCCATTCCCTTTTTCTTTTCCTTTCCCTTTTTCTTTTCCTTTTAGCTTTTTATTTCCATTCCCTTTTTTTCCATTCCCTTTTTCTTTTCCTTTTAGCTTTTTATTTCCATTCCCTTTTTTTCCATTCCCTTTTTCTTTTACATTCCCTTTTTCTTTTCAATTCCCTTTTTTCCATTCCCTTTTTCTTTTCCATTCCCTTTTTCTTTTCCATTCACTTTTTTTTCCTTTCAGCTTTTTATTTCCAATTCCTCTTTTCTTCCTGTCCTCAAAATTTTTCTTAATTAGGAAGAAAATGTAAGAGATGTAAAAATTTATGTTAGCTACCCTACCCCTAATATTCCTAATTTCGATATGACTAACAAAAAGTTAGTTTTTTTAACATCTTTTTCATTTTTTACCTATTTTTTTCTCTGAACATTTCTAAAGCGTGTGAATGTAAATGTGGTGTGAATGTGTGTCCGTATGGAAAGCTGTGTGTCTGTCTTGTATTTGTAAAGTGTCCTAAAGCCTGAACTATAAGAAAAGAACTAACTCTGTAAACTGAAGGAACAAAACCTTTGACAAATTTCAGATGCCGTTAAAAGAAGTATTAGCAGTGACAAGGATTGTAAAGATCAAAGAATCTGTTATACAAGATGGCCTAAAACTAAATTCTATAAAAATGGCCAACATCAAGATTGTATACGTGAATAATCTGAGAACATATGCGTACTCTTATACATCCTACTGTGTACACAGATTTTTCTTGATCAAATTGGTAATTTTAGTGTCCGTCTTGTAAAGCAAAGTCTTTGGCGCGGCTTCTCTGAAACTCATTCAAGATTCTCGTCCTTTTCCGGTCTTTTGCAGTCATAGACACGGTTTAACAGACAGGACAGGACAATAGGACACTATCTATCTATCTGTCTATATTTTATACAATACCTTTTCCTACTTTTTACAACCTAACACTGTGTATTTTGGGCCTTTAGTGCTCAACAACCGTTTTCAAGTTTTAAAGAATAAATACAGTGATACCCAAAGTTGTCCGCAATGCAAAGACGACCGTACAAGAAATTTCAACTAAAGAACGACATTATTAACAATACAACCAAACTTTTCAATAAAATTGGTGTCGTTGTGATTTTATCTGATTTGCTTTTTCCTGTAGATATCTGCGAAGTTTTTCCGTAGCAGACGTTTTTTTGTAGCATGCTTTTCCAACAGCATACGTTTTTCTGTAGCATAAATTTTCTTGTAGCATGCTTTTTCCAGGAGCATACGTTTTTCTGTAGCATACGTTTTTTGTAGCATGCTTTTTTCAGTAGCATACGTTTTTCTGTAGCATGCTTTTTCAGTAGAATACGTTTTTCTGTAGCATACGTTTTTTGTAGCAAACGTTTTTTTTGTAGCATGCTTTTTCTGTAGCATACGTTTTTCTGTAGCATACGTTTATCAGATAGAAAAACAAAGATTCGTTTTTTAGATGCAAAGGTTTACAGGTCACCAATGGGAATCATGAGTGGCACTTTTGAAAGGAAGTGTCTCTTCAAAAAACATTAATTGTAAATTTTCCTAATATTTATTTTAACATTTTTTCATTTATTTTGACATTTTTAAACTAAAACTTTTGTAGGGTTTAATTATTTTCTATTTTACTTTTGGACGAACTTTCGAGAACAAATTTCGTGGAATTCTACAGCAAAAACTAGCCTTTTCGAGGAAATTTTTAAAAAGTTTATGGAGTTCTCCAAAATTGATAGCAGACAAATTTGTTCTTTATTCTTTTGCACTTGGAGGTAACTTTGGTAACAAATATAATTCAAGCATTTCAAGTTTACAACCAAATTTAGTTTTTTTATTACATTAAACCATTAAATCATGACAAATCGTCTTCACATAATAAAATTATTTAACAGATCAAGCTCACTTGGGGTTAAAGAGGCGGTTAGCGTAATTTTAAGTTAAGCCCCTCCCTGCAAAAATGGCAGTGCCCGATTTACAACGGTACCCTGCAACATGAACAAAAAGGTGGAAGATAACTTCGTTTTACTCATTCGAAAAGTTCTCTATTGCAAGCAAAAAATCAGCAAGTCACTTTGGTAAGAAAATCGCAAATGAAAATAAACAGTTTAAAGAAACAAAAACATGCATATCTAATAAAAAAAAATTCCAGTCAAAGCTTTACAGGGTACCGCGACCGTTGTAAATCGGGCATTGTCATCATTTCATTGCGGATGACGGTAACAGTCCCTTTAAGTTTAATATTTAACCTTCTGCTTGGTGCCTTCTTGACGTGAATAAATAGTTTCTTCATGCTTAAATAAGTCTATTATGCACTAAACCTTGTCTACAGTCTAGATACTCACTTAAAAAACATTTCTTAAAGTTTTTTTTTATTAAAAAATTATCTTTAAAAAGAAAAAAATAACGTTCTTATAGAAACTAAACATGTCAGGCATACTACTCCTGCCCCGCCCCTTGCCAGCTGCCAGCTCCGCCCCCTTCGACCCCTTGGCTACTGGGCCCGCCCCACTTCTCCTGGGCCCGCCCACCCTTAGATTTGACAATGGTCTAGCACGAGGTGGAGTGAAAACAAGGTTGTTAATAAGTGTGCTCCCAGCTGCCATGTATGCTATATATTAGCTATAGCTAGGGAACCCAGGGAAGTCATAGATAGTCCCACCGTTTACCCGCTCTTTGTCGCAAATTACGATTTTAGCTATTTTTCTCGACCCACACTACTTAATGAATTTGAGCCGCGTCTCAAATCCGCCAAAAACCGGTTTCAATTGAACACCTGCTTAAATCTTGAAACATTGAATACAATTTTAAGTGGAACAAACCATATTTGAGCCGCGTCTCAAATTCTTTAAAGACCTCAGATTGATTTGCTTTTCTCATAAATATGTCAAAAAGTTTCCTCACACCATTTTTCTAAATTCAATTCTAAATACGCTAGTCACAGGCAGCCGTAGTACATTTGAATTTCCGAGCCAGATCAACCTTTCCGGTCCCAGTTTGTACTGTATCGCACGGACATTGGGTAAATAGCCGGTGTAACAAGGTTGACGCAGTCAGACTTTAGGTTAAATTTACTTTTACTAAAGTGTCAGAGGTGCGTGTAGTCTAGAACTCTCCAAAGAAACTAATTTTTAGCCACAAACTCTGATTTTCTAACCTCTATGTCTGTACGAACCGATATTGTAGACCTTTAATATTTCGAAATCTTTTAGATTAAATAGTCTACATTTGAAATTTTCAAGGTTTACAAACCTTCAAATTGCAATGATATAGGGATTAGAAAATTTGAGTTTGAGTTCCTATGTAGCTTTTCTTAAAAATTATAATATAGGCCAAGAAAAATATTGTATCATGCTTTATACTTTTTAAAAGTTTTACAAAACATATCATGTTAAAAGAGGAGGACTTTCTATGTTTAATGAGTAGTTTTAGGTTTTATAAATTACACTTTTGACCGATACATTCATTTTCGGTAAGAATTCATGCTTAATTTCAAGGTCTTGTTTTTTTGAAAAATAAACGTGTCAATGATTCAAGATTGTGCAATTAACGAAAATACAAAGATTTAAAAAATCTTAAAATCTAAATTGTCAGTAAATGTTTTTTTTAGAATCAAATTTGACAGCAGACAAGTGGAAATAACCGTGAACATTTGTTATTCATATTATTACAAAGTAATAAAAAAATAGAAACCCAATGTGGAATGATAAAATACTTGTGTTTGACTTTATTCTGAAAAGATTATTAATATTTAAATTAAAATTTAACCTGAGTCAAATTGTAGTACAAGTTAGTACAATGTTCAGAGATGCTCAGAATACAATAATTGTGGAATTATGATAATACTGCCATTATATTCTTTAAGTGTTCTCTTGTACCGCATTAAATAATTTATAAACATTTTGCCCAGCATTGTTATAAATATAATAGTTATCTATTATGACGGCTTAGCAGCCTCACTTAATCCTGTACTGTACACAGTACCTTGAAACATATACCTAACCCTTACCACAAGTTAAACACTCAATAGGCTGAATCTCTCGACCAATGAGAAGCAAGCTCCGGGGCGGAGACTTGTTTGTATCGACTAATGAGAGATCAGGAACGAGTTATTATCGACCAATGAGAGTTCATGATCCGGCTGGAACCAGCGCCCGGGCCCAGCCCTCTTTCTTCAGTTTCACCCAGAGCCTTGACGAGGAATAAGGTAAATCGTCTCTTCCGTAAATTTGTGCAATAAATCGTCAAGATGGCCGGCGTAGACGAAAGACAAGCTTTTGCCAAACTCGAAGCACTCAAAGACATTCGAACAAAGACGATTTGTCTTGAAAAAACGCGAATTTCTCTTCTGTGCGACGTGGCCCAGTTGGAAGAGGAGGATAGATGCTTGGAGGAGTACAGGAGGGAGCTCGAGCTCCTTCAGCAAGAGAAGATGGCACATGTTGAAGAGTTGAGGCAGATACACGCCGATATAAATGCCATGGATACAATTATAAAACAGGCGGAGGAATCCAGGCGATTATCACAGGTAAAAACATTTCCCCACCTTTTTAGTTCTCCCATCCTTTCTCCAAAAATTTCAAATTCTAAATTCGGAACTTTCCAGCTTTTGTTTTCGTTTTTAATCATTTTTATTGTAATCATCACTCAGTTTGATTTAATCTTACAAGATTTAAAACTAAACTTAAATAAAATGATTGAATAGCAGTTAAATCATGGACCAAAACTGAACTTGAAATCATACAACTCAACTAAAGATATTTTAATATTTTTACGTATTTTTAGGAAAATGCGCGAAAGCTTCTCTCCGAATATGTTCCACTGAGTCAGGATGTAAACCGGATGAGAACAGATCTGCTAGACCTGGACCGGCTCCCGGATATCCCGGAAGAGGAGAAGGATCGCTTGAAAGCAGCCGGGATCTTAGAGAAGGATAAATCCCTAAACGATCCCTGGCCAAAACCCCTCCATAGGGATCCTAGGGATCAGGATCATATAATATCTAGTTCTCTCTCCCTCCCTCCGCCCCAGCACAATCCATTCTTTTCAATGGCGGGTCAACCGTCCCCGCTGTTCGGATCTTTAGGATTATCCAAGGCGGGATTCTGCCCGCCGTCCAGTATGGGTCAACTTCCCAACCCCCCTCCGTTTCGATATCAACAACAACCGCCGCCGATGAAATCTTGTCTTAGCTGTCATCAGCAAATACATAGGAATGCTCCAATATGTCCGCTGTGTAAAGCTAAATCAAGATCAAGAAATCCCAAGAAACCGAAGAAAAAAGAATAAATTTACAGAATATACATTTACATGTCAGTTTCCCTGATTTATTTACCTATTTATTTGTCAAATATTTATATATAAATAAATAAACCTTAGAATAGATTTATTAAGTGTAGAGTGTAGAGTGTAGAGTGTAGAGTGTAGAGTGTAGAGTGTAGAGTGTAGAGTGCAGTGTTAAGAGTGTAGAGTGTAATTAAACAATACATTAAAATATCAATTTTTAAACCTGGAACAGTCCTCTTAAAAGCCCTTTATTTAAATACACTCGTGCTAAACTGGCAATATGCAATATTTATGTTTATATTTTCAGCAAACAAAACGAAAAATTAACACATTTATTCTCCCGGCCATATTTATGTTAACTCGAAGATTTATGGGTCGCCATTTTGAAAATTTGATAAAAATTTCGACCTACAGTCTCCGCTTCAGGTTTTTCAATAAAAATATTCAAATCTTGAAATTCAAATAAATATATTCATCTGAAAAGTGGAAAGAACCGAGACGAGATTTTGCTCATATTTTATATTTTCACAAATTCATTTAACGTTCGTCCACTCAGCTTTTTGTTCATTTTCTTTTATTTCCAGCAGATTGGATAAAAGCAAATAAATATTCATAATTCAGAATTTTAACTTAGCTTGACTTATTTCAATGCAACGCAGGACTAAAGACGATTCTCTATTGATGTGGCATGTCCGATTCACATTTTCAATATTTATTCGGTCTATTTGTGCAGTGTACAGATAACTAGAGTATATATGATTTACTGTGCAGTGTACAGATAACTAGAGTGTATATGGTTTACTGTAAAGTGTTCGGATAACTAGAGTATATATGATTTATTGTACAGTGTACGGATAACTAGAGTAGATATGGTTTACTGTACAGTGTACAGATAACTAGAGTATATATGGTTTAATGTATAGTGTACAGATAACTAGAGTATATATGGTTTACTGTACAGTGTACAGATAACTAGAGTATATATGGTTTACTGTATAGTGTACAGATAACTAGAGTATATATGGTTTACTGTACAGTGTTCAGATAACTAGAGTATATATTGTTTACTTTACAGTGTACAGATAACTAGAATATATATTGTTTATTGTACAGTCTACAGATAACTAGAGTATATAAGGTTTACTGTACAGTGTACAGATAACTAGAGTATATATTGTTTATTGTACAGTGTACAGATAAATAGAGTATATATGGTTTACTGTACAGGGTTCAGATAACTAGAGTATATATTGTTTACTGTACAGGGTTCAGATAACTAGAGTATATATGGTTTACTGTACAGTGTTCTGATAACTAGAGTATATATGATTTAATGTATAGTGTACAGATAACTAGAGTATATATGGTTTACTGTACAGTGTACAGATAACTAGAGTATATATGGTTTACTGTACAGTGTAAAAATAACTAGAGTATATATGGTTTACTGTACAGTGCACAGATAACTAGAATATATATTGTTTATTGTACAGTGTACAGATAACTAGAGTATATATGGTTTACTGTACAGTGTACAGAAATTAGAGTATATATTGTTTATTGTACAGTGTACAGATAACTAGAGTATATATGATTTATTGCACAGTGTACAGATAACTAGAGTATATATGGTTTACTGTACAGTGTACAGATAACTAGAGTATATATGATTTATTGCACAGTGTACAGATAACTAGAGTATATATAGTTTACTGTACAGTGTACAGATAACTAGAGTATATAAGGTTTACTGTACAATGTACAGATAACTAGAGTATATACGGTTTACTGTACAGTGTGTACAGATAACTAGTGTATATATGGTTTACTGAACAGTGTACAGATAACTAGAATATATATGGTTTACTGTACAGTGTGTACAGATAACTAGAGTATATATATGGTTTATTGTACAGTGTACAGATAACTAGAGTATATATGGTTTACTGTACAGTGTACAGATTACTAGAATATATATGGTTTACTGTACAGTGTACAGATAACTAGAGTATATATGGTTTACTGTACACTGTACAGATAACTAAAGTATATATGGTTTAAGTACAGCTAGGGTATATATTGTTTATTGTACAGTGTACAAATAACTAGAGTATATATGATTTAATGTACAGTGTACAGATAACTAGAGTATATATGGTTTACTGTACAGTGTGCAGCTCATAGATAAATGAATATCTAGCTATGGTACAGCTTGGGTATATATTGTTTATTGTACAGTGTACAGATAACTAGTGTTTATATGGTTAATAATCTAATAAAATCCTATTTAAGAATTTATGTAACTATTATACTCATCTCAACCCATTGTATCCAGTATCCACCACATTCCCCCATCCCACATTTTCCATAATTTTCTCTCATTCCCAATTCCTGATATACCATGTCCCAAATCGTTCCAAAATCCCCATAAATTCCTCGTATATTTCCGATGCATTCCCTATTGCATTTCTCATGCATTCCTAATAAAGTCCTCGCATATTTACAATGCATTCCCTATGCATTTCCCATGCATTCCTAATAAAGTCCTCGCATATTTACAATGCATTCCCTATGCATTTCCCATGCATTCCTAATAAAGTCCTCGAATATTTCCAACGTATTCCCCATGCATTTCCCATGCATTCCTAATAAAGTTCTCGCATATTTCCAATACATTCCCTATGCATTTCTCATGCATTCCTATTAATAAAGTCCTCGTATATTTCCAACGTATTCCCCATGCATTTCCCTTGCATTCCTAATAAAGTTCTCGCATATTTCCAATGCATTCCATATGCATTTCTCATGCATTCCTATTAATAAAGTCCTCGTATATTTCCAATGTATTCCCCATGCATTTCCCTTGCATTCCTAATAAATTCCTCGAATATTTCCAATGTATTCCCTATGCATTTCCCTTGCATTCCCAATAAAGTCCTCGAATATTTCTAACATATTCCCCATGCATTTCCCATGCATTCCTAATAAATTCCTCGTATATTTCCAACGCATTGCTCAATCATTTTTCCATATCCATATGTTTTTGTTATATTTCATAAATAAGTACTTACTTACTTACTTAGTTACTTACAAACCTTTCACATTTTGTAAAATTAACGACTTCTAATAGGTATTTTGAGTACAAAAAGTTGGTAAAAAAGAGAAAAGAAAGCCTGCAGATTAGCAAAAAATATGCCCTATATTTAGATAAAAAAGTTGCTATAAAATAGCTAAAGGAATTGAGGCTTTGCCACAAACTAAAATTTTCCTATCGTTATAACTTTGCACCCCAATGTCGTAGACCTTAGATATTTCAAACTATGAATTCTGGTATATCAAACAATTTGAGTTTGAAATATCAAAGTTTTACACTATCCAGTTGCAGAAATATTGGGTTTAGAAAATCTGAGTTTGTGACAAAACTCAGTTCCTTTAAATCAGTGTATGAATTCTGAAAGATATAGTGATAACAAATTTGCCTCAATTCATTTGCACTTTTATAAATTTTTTCATTTTCTGCTTTTTATTTTCTTAATTTTGTCCAAGCTTCTTCTGAATGGAAGGGGGGGGGGAG